AATTTAAATTATAAAACCAGTCTGAACCAGTCTTCTGGGATATACGTCAGATAATGTCACGCCTTGAAAGCTGAATCCCGGTCGTTCGTGCTATCGTGAACGATTGATTGCAAAGTTAATTATTCAAATTTGTGTATGTCCCGCCATAAAGTTGTAAAATTAGTCCAATTTTGGGACTGTAGGCAGTGGTAAAAAAGAAATAACAAATAAGACCTGATTTAAGCTTCTAAATGCTTAAAAATTAGCTTTTGTAAACATCAGTTTATAACTTTCCTGGCTTTCGAGTTATAAACTGAACTTGAGGTAACAGCTCAGAATGCAATGAAAAGTGTGAGCTGAACCTCAGGTTTATCACCTCGCACACAGTCGTAACCCAGTTTTTGAATTTCAGTTTTAGTGCTGAAATTTCGAGAATTGGGTCACGATTGTGCAGTTCTGCAAAGTCTCTTAATCTAACTATCCATTCATGCAGGCAGCTATAACACAGTTTCATAATGAAGTGTTTATCTTTTGTAGATTAAGCAAAGCGTACAAACCTGCAAAAAAAAAAAAATTAAATAGATTTCATTTTTCGAATTATACTGAACCTGGGTTTTTAAAATGAATTAAACAAACATCAGTGATGAAGTAAGGGGTCCGGCAAACAACTGCGGTTGTTCGTTGAAGCACAGCAAGACGATCGTTAACACTTATATCAACATTGTTTTGTGCACCATTTACAGATGAATAATTCTGAATATCCTAGAAAAAAAAATAACAAATGCTAGGCATACTTTACTTATAGAAGTTAACATCAAACCATTTAGCTCCGAGTTCCCGCCATAGATGCAAAAAATCACAAAATCCCTTTATTTCCGGCAGTGGTTAATTTCAAGACTTCCGACTACAGTATCGTATCGCAAGCTCTCTCAGATCAAGGGACTGAGTCAGAGCACATCTTATCAAGTGATGATACATAGAAAACATATTGCTTAACTAGCTCGTACAATTTTGCAAATTTGGTGAATCTATCTTGCTCTTTCGCTTCTGCTTAACTCCAAATTCATCTTGTTATTCATTTCTATTAATCCCAGTATGTGGAAGTAGCCAAATGCCGAACTGATGACATATCACTCAGGATCGAGGGCCTAAAAATGAATGTTTCTTATCTATGACTGCATCCGGGTAAGTCTGGAGCTCCACACTGGCAATTTAAGCGTTCTTGATAATTTTGGTAATATGTAAAAAAGCATTTGTAAGAACATCATACGTCTTTATGGCAATATTGATTACTGGAGCTGAAGCCTTTATTGCTTGACATAGGCTGCAGAGAATGTCTGAAACAAACAGATTTTTGGCTAATACTTTCAAATTTTTCACGAAACGTTACATGTTAAAACCTGACCTCGCATGCTGCTAAAATAACTCACTGCTGTTCCCTGAAAAATAGGTTTTTTTTTGTCCACAATCGGTAAAAAGAACAAAAAACGATCTGACAGCGGATTGATTATCATTTTCAGGCCTGGGTGGAAGATCAAACGAACTACACGCTGTCGGAACAGGGCTATACTCAAATTCTGGCAACTACTACACCGAGGGAACAATACACTGGCACATTTATGCAGTACAGTTTGTGGATCGCAAGTCGACGCTGCACTGGATC